GATTTATAAGTTATGACTTCACCTGGCAATTTTCCTTGAATCTGGAAGTTCATTGCATTGACATGTATATTCTTCGGTGCCAATATTGAACGTTCTGCTAACCAATCATGGCTTCTGTGATTCTGAATGACACTTGGGAAAACGCATTCGAACAATTCTTCTTTTGTTTGCAAAATTGTACAAAAATTTTCGGCCAAGGTGATCATTCCATTTGTATTGTCGATTTGCATTTTTCCATTTTCGATATCCAACAATGTTTCCGAAAACTGATGTGCAGATGAATCGTCTTGTGGTAGGACACGCATATTGACATTCAACGTCAATTTTTTCACAAATCTCCAGAGAGCAGAAGATTTCAGACATGCATTTATTTCATCGGCAGGAGTTGACCGAGGAAGAACTGGCAATGTTTGTCGAAAAACACCTGATAACAATATCAAAGCACCACCAAACAGCTGTTGATTTCCGCGTAAATCTTTCATAGCTCGATCCAATGCTTCCAGCGATTTTTGTTGGCCATTGTACACTCATCCCACAGAATAATCGCCGCTTGCTTCAAGACTTTTCCCATTGCAGAATTTCTTGAAATATTGCATGTCGGCGTTTCACTCACTTGCATGTTCAATGGCAATTTGAATGCAGAGTGTGCTGTTCGCCAGTGTTGTCATAAAAAGCTTGCAAAATTGTTTGATATACATAGTTTTGTTGATCATTTAATTTGTCAATATTTTATTACACAAATTCAATCAATTCGTCACAATTGAATTGTTGTTCACGTTGCAATTCTTGATCCATCAAATCATGCATCGGACGATCAGGTGAAATCATAGATAACTGTGATAATGCTTTGTACGCAATTTTGAGACACATATCTTCAATGATTATTAATGCTTCATTGTACATTTCCAAGGTAATTATCAAATCTGGATTATTTGACGTACGACGCATCCGAATCAAAATATCTTCCGTCATGTAATCTTGATATTTGTTCCATAATTCCAGTGGATTCGATGGCATGCATGTTGATATTATAATCGAGAAAGGCATTCTTATTTGTTGTGGTAAAGATGAAACACATGCATCTTGAAGCGTCGATTCCAAATGTGAATCGTTTTCCAACAAATGCAGTAGGTGACATGCCTCTCGATACGTTTCACATGAATATCAACTATTTTAAAATATTCGAACGATTTCGGTCCTTGAACGTTCACCAATAGCAATCGCAAATAAAAACATTCCGCGTTGTTGGGATGAATCGTAGACATTCTGCCCAAAGCATCTGTTGAATATATACCCGGGTGACCATCAACTGCTGTACCCTGTTTACGTTATTGGAATTCTTTTGATGATGTATTCCATGTGTAATACTGAGGTACATCAGTATATAGCAAACTTCTGGCAAATGTATCGGTTTCATAAAGTCGAGAAAAAGCAGTTAAAGTAGTCGCTGGTGGTTGTGCTGCTCTCCGTTGTATATTTTCAGTAGTAAAATAAACACGTTGACCATTTTCAAGACGCACCGCTAGATGAACAACAACAGGATGTCTTTCGTGCAATCAAAATGAAAATATTCGTTAAATTGCTTCATTGCTGCTAACGTATCGGCCCATTTGATATCGAGTAATTTCATCGTTCCTATTGTCAGCATCAGGTACTTCAAAGACAGCCATATCACTTCCTTTATTCACATACTTGCAAATGTATTTGATTGACTTGACGAAATTACAATACTCAACGTTAATGTGAGACTGAAATATTTTTGACAGAAGTTGTGAATATGGCACAATCCAGCAATTATCGACGATGATTTCTTGATGACGAATGTTCATCATTACTGATTGACCGTTATCTTCAGTAGACCGTCGTCGATACAACGGGTATCCATCATTGCCTGTTATTGTGTCGCAAGTCAATGCTCTGGGATAACGCTTTGGGCATTTGCCATCAACCATGCGTGGTGAATTCGTATTCACATCTAAAAATGCGCGCAGTTTCACAATTACATCCATCAGCGCTTTTAATTTTTGCCGAAAAACACGTGCATTTATATCGTGACGATCTGTTGTAGATTGACCGTCAAACAAATTATTTTGAATATCGCTCCACTTCGGATTACATGTGAATGTAATAAATAAATCATATGGCGAGGACTTCCAATATAAGATGCTGGTAATATCGTCAGACGTCCAATATCATTCAAATTCCCATCATTTGTTATTGCATAGTGCAAATGTATGTATTCTTCTGATCGCAATTTACTTTGATTGAACCGGATGTAATTGAGACGTTCAGTCTCAATTTTCGCATACATGTCCCCAATGTATTGATGAAACAGTTTTCCACATCTCAAAATGTAATTTCAACTTCCTTCGCGAATCATTAATCTGTAAAAAATACGTTTCAAAACGTATTTAGAAGTTTTCATTTCAAAATCGAAATCTTTTATTTAAACGAAATATTTATGAGCACGATATATATTATGTACCTGTGCTTGGATTAATCATTGGGATATTTAGATGGTATCCATCATGGCCATTCCAGTGCAATATAGGATACTGTAATTGTTCTTTTCTACGGTGAAGAATAATATCTCGAGATTGAAACTGATCGCCTACAATCACAATGGCCACTTCATCAATGGTTGGTGCATTGAATCTTCTTGAATGCTCTCCAGTTGGAGTTTTATCGGCTCTTATAACGATTTTGTGATTATTAGATGGCAACCGATCCATAGCAGTTTTGAACAATTGGACTGTGCTGACTCATTGTGCTGATGAAAAAAGTCTTGTAGTTCAAAGAATTTCTTTTTTGTGTGAGAACCAATTGTGCAGCGTTGATTTAATTCACGATTTTTATCTCCGATGAAATCTATTTGTAACAAGTAAGGAAGGGCTAAGTTCGGGTGTCACGGAACATTTTATACTCTCGCATGATAAAGTGATAATCTGTGAACCGATTTCACCCATATTTGGTACATGTCATCAGGGTGTTATATATATATATAAATATTATATACCGTATTTCATTGAAATCGGTAGAGTACTTCCTGAGATATGGTTTTTGGTCCATAAGTGGGCAGCCTGGATGCAGCTTCCTTCTGACATTTCTTCCGTAAAATTTAGTGTTTCTGACGTTTTTTGTTAGTCGGTTAACGAACTTTTAGTGATTTTCAACATAACCTTTGTAACGGAGGTGGGCGTGGTTATTATCCGATTTCTTCCATTTTTGAACTGCCTGAAGAAACGACTCTATAGAGTTTGATTGACATAGCTAAAGAAGTTTTCGAGATATGTACAAAAAAGTTAGTAGGGGGCGGGACCACGCCCACTTTTCCAAAAAAATTACGTCCTAATATGATTGATCTTGGATCTGTAATATGTATGCAATGTTATAGGAATAAATGTTTCCCTATTCATTGAAAAACCATCAAATATTCAATGCAATCACCTTAAATGTCGGCATATAAAATTATAAGAGATCAATTTCTTATATTTTTTAAATTTTTTTAGTGCCGAAAGAAGTCATTTGAAAAGACGAATTGTACTCTTGTATATGATTTTAAAAATGTTTCGATTCTGGTGATGTCTCAAAAATTAATGATTGTAGTGGTTCAGGAGGCAGCTCAAATTCCGGCAATTTTACTTTCCCGTTAGCGCAACATATTCCAGCCGTTTCACTCGGGAATTTAGCCGCTTCACACTGTGGGCATATAACATCCATCATTCCAATATATCCATGTACATTATAGTCGATTGAAGGGTCGTAATCAAATGCAGCACGGAACATATCTTCCAAAACACGACGTCGTATTCGCGTAGGTCTTGCTGGATTTCTTGCATGATGAGCTTTTTCAAATCTATTTTGTGGACGTCGCACTGCACTTTGTATGTTTGATTTTGGACGTGCCGGCATTTTCTTTAAAATAATAAAGGAATAATCGAAATCGAATCAAATCGGAACAATTCTTATAAGGAATCTTTTTGGATTTGTGAAGAGTATTATAGCTTCGGTGCGACCGAAGTTAAGGTTTTTTTCTTGTTAAATACTTTTTTATACAGAGTGGCGCAAAAGTCAGAAGATGATCAGAAGATATAAAGCTATAAATTTTGCAATTGACCTCTAATGTCAGTTCTGTTTTGACATTTGTGTAATAAACACATGCGAAATACACGTAAATAAACGAAATGGTACGCACACTGCGTGCCACAACCGATATGCTGAAGGACACATTTCCCGCGCGCCTAATCTCCCGTTTGACGATTTGCAAAATCGCTTGATTTGACCGCTGCAGACTTCTTTTTGTGGGGTTTTTTTGAAGTCCTTCAGCTCTTAAGGACAATATCCGTCAAGAAAGTGAGGACCTATCGACGGAATTTCTGGCCAAAGTGATGGAAAATGCCGTAAAAAGGGCAATTAATTAATTAAAAAAAATATAAAAGCCCAAATAAAAATAATCCACAAGCAGAATGTAAGTTTTTCATTTTCCAAAAAACATCGGAAGGTGGGTTTCGTGCCACCTGTTATAAACAATATAGTTAAATTTCGGTGACTTTAAAACAATTTTTATTTGAAGTATGCCTAGTCATAATTGATTTAAAAAGCACGACACTGCTCTGCTGCATTTTATGATCGCTGCACAACTGTGATGACACCTTGTAATAAAGGAAGTTGACACAAACTTTTACAATCAAAACAATAAGTTCACTTTGCAGTATTTGTGTTTACTTAAATGCGAAGTGAAAGTTTACCATAAGGAACTTCATAACTCTCTAAAAATGTAAACAACGGGAATTGGTCATAGTTACGTAGTCTAGTCCGAAAACACTCCCTCTGCCATGTCATATTTAAAGCAAATCTTTTGTTAAAAACATGAAACTGAAACCAATTTTACAAAGCAATTAATATTGAAAGAGACTTGCTTTGAATCAGCTCAACTCTTTGTCAGAGCCGAAATTTGTTCCTTGAATGCTTAATTGTAATTATCCATTACTTCTTTCCAGATCGATCATGCCACACACTCGGAGTTATGGAGTTTTGCAACGCTACTGGCCATTGCACTGACCATTTATAGTTTATGGGATTATATAAAGTCAGTACTGCTCTCACTGAAACTGTCAGGACCGGAAGCATTACCCATACTTGGCAATTGCTTGATCATAAAGGAGAAGGACAGTAAGTTACAATTTAACAACTCATAAATCCGGGCTCAAAAAAACTTATATTTAGACTTATTAAATTAATTGTTATTTGCAGTGCTTGCCAAACGCGTGGCAACAGCTTTCGGTCTATACGGTCCACTAATACGTGTTTGGGTTCTACTTTTCCCGTTCTTTGCCGTGCTGCAACCAGATGATTTGCAAGTCATACTCTCTTCAAAGAAACATACAGAGAAAGTGTTCATCTACAGATTGATGCATAACTTTCTGGGGAAAGGTCTTATAACGAGTAGTGGCGAAAAGTGGAACGCTCATCGAAAATTCATACAACCCATGTTTCATTTGACGATTTTGGAACGCTTCATTGACACATTTGCGGACGCCTCTCAAACACTCTTCGAGAACTTACACGGATCCGCCAATGAAGAAGTTAATATCGCCAAATATATCAACAATTGTGTCATAGACATATTAAATGGTATGGTAACTCGATCCCTTCTCTTCATATTCAAATGATTTATGTTACATTTCGTTGAACAGAAGTGGTCCTGGGTGTACCGGTAAAACGGCAAGGTGCCTTAGTGGATATGGAGCATTCACCATTCAGGCAGTGAGTTGATTATTCTAATTATTACCTCCTATTCGTATACAGTTTCTTGTTCTTTTCAGAGGAAAAGTGGTAGTCAACGAGCGTTTTTTGCAGCCGTGGCTTCTGTTTGAGAGCATTTACAAGTTTACGAAAAGCGCATCAGAAGAGCTCGATCAAAAGAAGCGTCTCGACCAATTTACACGTAAAATGATCAAGCGCCGTCGTGATATGATAGCGAGTGGACCTCTTGTCAGACGCAAGTGTCTGCTGGATTATATGATCGAAATATCGGATAACAATGCTGATTTCACCGAAGATGATATAGTAGATGAGGCCTGCACATTTATGCTTGCCGGACAAGATTCCGTTGGCGCTGCAGTTGCCTTCACACTCTTCCTACTTGCTCAAAACCCCGAATGTCAGGAGAAATGTGTTGCAGAAATTAACGATATTTTCATGGACGACCAGCGCGCCCCAACTATGAATGATTTGCGAGAAATGCGCTATGTGGAGATGTGTATTAAGGAGGCATTGCGCCTGTGCCCCAGTGTGCCTTTAATGGCACGAAAATTGGGCGAAGAAGTGCGTTTGGGAAAATATACACTACCCGCTGGTAGCAATATATTTATTTGTCCTTATGCTACGCATCGTTTGCCACATATTTTCCCTGACCCCGAAAAATTCGATCCCGAACGCTTCTCGCCACAAAACATGGAAACACGCCATCCTTACGCCTATATACCGTTCAGTGCGGGCCCCCGTTACTGCATTGGTAATCGCTTTGCCATTATGGAAATGAAAACCGTTGTCTCGCGTTTATTGCGGAGTTATCAGCTGCTGCCTGTACCCGGCAAGACCTCCTTCAATGCCACGTTTCGCATTACACTACGCGCCTCAGGTGGTTTATGGGTGCATTTAAAGCCACGCGAAAATCCTCTCATCGATTATAGCAATTAAGAAAGGTTTTTTTGGACTCCTATATTTAAGGTATTATAAACTTTTAGCTATGGTAGTTGTAGCTCTAGTTAAACAAATTCTTGCGGGTATTCCTCACTCCCACAACCACAATAGCTGTAAAGTATTTATATGTATGTGTAAGTAAATACATACTACTGTGATCAAATTAAAAGGTGAATTTTATCCATTTCATCTCCTTCAAAGTAATCCCCTCCCGCTGCAATACACCTATGCCAGTCATCACAGCACTTGGAAAAATCCTCCGTCGTGATGGCCATCAGTGTCCTCGGAGTGGTCATGTAAATTTGCAAAATAGCCAGTTACACGAAGGTAAATAAAGCGAATGGGGTGATTACGACACCATATTAGTTGAAAATGTGGGTGTTGAAATGTTCACTGCCTTTTTCGTTAAATTCAGACTTAGTAAAAACCGAAGTATTCATGTTTAGAGCTTCACAAAACGACGAGTATCTAAAATATTAATGAATATTTCGACGTGAAATTTCGCATAGATGTCACTAAGAGTACTACCAACTTACAGAAAAACAAAAATTTACCGATTCGTAAAACACGCGAAGTATAAAATAAAAATTCACCTTTCAATTTCACAGTGGCATATGAAATTATCGTATTATAAATGGTAAAGCCTTTCTAGGTAAGTGTATCAATGCCAAAACAAATGCAATTGTTCATATATTATAGACCCTAATTTTAAGTATTACGCTAACACTTGTATTGTTGCTATATTAATAATCTAATTGGCATGATACAAAATAAATGTAAACTTTACGAATATATACTTAGTTACAAAACTTTGATTCCTTTCTCCTCTTTTCATTTTCATTTCGTATCTGTTGCTATTAAACATTATTCCATACTTTCTAGAGAAGTATAACTTAGAAATAATAACAAATGGTTAAAAATACAAAATAGTCGACCTGTGAGGTGATCAGGTGCATCTCTAACATCACGAGAATCGTATTCTGCTAAACACTGGGCAAGCGATGTTCCATGATTTTCAAGAATTTTATCCTGTATATAAACTAACTAGAACAATTATCCGGAAGTAATTAAAAGCATGCTGAAATGTTTGTATCGTTTATATGAAAATACACGTCTGTTTAAAATGGAATAAAGTTAAATTAGCTTAGCCTTAATCTCGAACGATTTGTTCGGTATTCCGAGATATTTTCTAAGTGAATTGCGAAACTCTTTTAAGCACAAAAACGATTAACGCATTCGAGCGAACACAAAAAATCCACAATATTATAATGAATGCCTTTGAAATGATGTCAATCATTCTTGGGTCTATGAATCCAACCACCATCGCACATAAGAGTTGGAGCAGTGCCTTTTAACTTTATGGACGATTTGTAGTGATGATAAATCACAAGCCATTGCCCACAGAGCCATGATTATTGACTTTTGTGCCTAAATTGGAGGATGCTGATTGGCCGATCTTTGGTTCCAACGACACGTCACTACATGGCACACAGCATTCATTTTATCGAAAGAAACTTTTGGTGAGCTCATTATCTTGCAACGTGGGCCTGTGGCGTAGCCTCGAACACCACAGAACTCTTTTTTGTGGGGTTGTGTTAGGTCACTTGTCTACGCCTTATGAGAGAATATTCGACTCATTATTGCTGACATACGGTCTCAATTAGAGTGGTCGTAAATTTAGCTTTTTAGCGACCTTACCGTTCCGCATATTAATGACAAGGTTGACAAATTACATGAATTAGTCTTTGGAAAAGTTGACAGATCGCTATATTTGATCTATGGCTGTGCTGGCGATGCACCTATGTTGAATTCTAAAACCGAGCTTTCACTAAGAAAATGTAATGTGAAACTTATTCAGAATGCAAATTTCTTATTTGATAATCAGAATATACCAAAATATTCTGATACTAAATTGTTCTCTCAAAGGAATTCCCACCTCCAATATACTTGTGCCAACGTTTTTTTCAATCCTCGAAGCAGTTTTTAAAGTCAATTTCCGAAATAACTTTCAAAGTTGGTTGAAAATTTTTAGAAAAACTTACGAAGAATCAAATCAGTACGGTGCATTATGGAGGTGCAAAAACCAAGAGTTGTCCATAATTCCGGCCTCTTTTTACGAATATGATGCACACAAAATTGAATRGAACTTCTGCTGAATAATTTAACTGTTCGTAAAAATGCCGAATACACTTTGCGTTCTTCAGAAAGACAAGTGTGTACCAAACACGTGAAGGAAGCCTCGGTGACCCTATAAAGTATATACAATATAAATGATCAGTATATTGAGCTGAGTCGATTTAGCCATGTCCATCTGTCTGTTTGTCCGTCCGTCTGACCGTCTGTCTGTATATATACGAACTAGTCCCTCAGTTTTTAAGATATCGTTTTGAAATTTTGCAAACGTCATTTTCTTTTCAAGAAGCTGCTCATTTGTCGGAACTGCCGATATCGGACCACAATAACATATAGCTGCTATACAAACTGAACAATCGGAATCAAATTCTTGCATGGAAAACTTTCACATTTGACAAAATATATTCACGAAATTTGGTATAGATAATTTTCTAAGGCAATTTCCGAAGAAATTGTTCAGATCGGTTACCTATAGCATTTAGCTGTCATATAAACTCAATGATCGGAATCAAGTTCTTATATGGAAAACTTTCACATTTAAAAAGATATATTCACGAAATTTGGTACAGATTATTTTGTAAAGCAACAATGTAATCTCCGAAGAAATTGTTCATATCGGTTAACTATAGCATATAGCTTCCATAAAAACTGAACACATAGTTACTAAAAGAAAATCACCTGTGAAGGGTATATTAGGTTCGGTGCAGCCAAAGTTAACGTTTTTTCTTGTGTGATATTTGTCACAGATGTCACTGACAGTCCATCCTAGAAAAAAATATTTCGCGCGAAATTTATATTAAAAAGTCTTACTATTTTTTGCTCACAGTAGTATATAAAACCAACATATTGAGCTTCAACGTTTTATTTATTGTAGACAACTCAGCGATTTGATACAATCAAAATGTAAGAACATTGCAGATATAATTTATTATTTTTATAAGTATGTATTTACTTGTATGTAGTCAGTATAGATATATAATTATGTAATTTTAAACAATTAATCTCTATTCATTAACAATGTAATGGTAAATAATGTATAATTACAATATGTTATTATCCTTAGTGGGGATTCACATATACACAAATATATGTGTATAATTTTTTTCCATTTATAACAGGGGCAATTACAAGAAACGAAATGTAGGTACTATCAAAGGTCATGTATTCACCCTGATTACCTGGACGTATGTTTGTATGCGCGTGAGTGGGCAGGCCATTCATTCGGCCAATATATTCGTTTAGCAGATATAATCGTTGCTTCTAAATTACTTAATTCTCACTTTTGATTATGTAAGTGATTGTGCCTAATTTTGTACACAAGGGATGCATTAATATTTGTAGGCTTATTCGAGTGTGGGTAGGTTTAATTGAATTGTGGATGCTGCGCGTAAATGTAACAAAACGGGTATGAGATTGTTGGGAAATAAAATGCTTAACAATAACAACAGGCAAAAATAACTCGTACTTATTAACAAATTCATCAAAGTGAGGCCCTTGGAGGACAACGCGGCGGCAACAACAACGCAAATACGGATTAGCGACGTCAGGTTTTACTTTTATTGCTATCACAAGTGACCCTAACCCATAACCCTAAACTGTATTTGAAAGTGGTTTGTGTGGTTTGTGCGGGACGGCAACCGCACATGCGCCTCAACCGGTTTGCGCTGATTTATTTGGCATTTAGCGTCGCGCCTTTGTTTAAACCATTGCTGTCACTGCTGCTACTGTCTAACGTCGTGCCTCCACGCGTCGCGCGCTGGTAGCGACGGTTTGTTGTTGAGACAAGCGCTCGGTTGCCTCGCGTACGCGCCCGCTTAGCCGAGGCGCCGCTGTGGAGCGTCCAAGCAGCGGGGAGTTGGGCATGGAGGAGCATTGTTTTTGCTGATGTTTTTGTTGCTGTTGCTGTTGCAGTGTTGAATTCGTTGATTTCGTTGTGGCACTTGTAGCGATTTCTGTGCAGGAAATGTAAAACAAAATATTCTGTTAAAAAAGTTATTGGTAAATTAAAGCAAAAAAAAGTTATACTCTAAAAGCATTTTGAAAAGGTACTTTGGTTAGCGCAGCTGAAGCGTTTATCGGCGAAAACATCTTTGTTGTGGTCTCTCTTGTGCGGTGGTGAAGTTTGTCTGGGTACTAGTAATTTAGCGTTAACACATTTGGCATCATCGGCACTGGAGGCCAAATTGAACTTATGCTTCAGCTGTGAAACTTTTCCCGCCGCTTCGAAAATCGGTTTAGGCTGTTGCTTGGCCTTCTCTCGCAACGCATTGTTCTCCAACGATTTCTTACGCATCTTTATGGTATTAGTGAAATCCGAGCGCATTATGGGTTCGCGAAGTGGTGGTGATGCCCACACTGTTGTTGGCTCTGCTGGCACACCTTGCGTTGGCGATGTGAGTGGCATTGCAAGCGATAAGGTTACATTCGCTTGATCAGAAATCCCATCCTCATGCCGCACTCGCATGGACTCACTATGCTCTCCATTATCTTTCCCAGCCGTCACTCCGTCGGAGGACTGTAGACTTACTTGCCGTATGTGTTGCTCTAAAACGCTTATGGATTCATTGCATTTTTCGTCAAACTGCGGCAACGCCAAATTCTCATGTTGCGCGATTTCCTCCAATTTCGTTTTGAGCACTTCGTGCGGTACGCCCAGCGACAGCGCCGCTTCTGCATTTGTCGCGTGTAAATCATCCAAGGCGCTGTGCTGCACTATGACCTGCACGGCAGACGCGCCAGCACAATGGCATGGCATATTTCCAGCCACACTGCAATTGGAGCACTCGCTGTAACCGGAATCGCTGCGCTCGCTGCATTGAGATTTGTCGCGCACTTTTAGCGTCTTTTGAATGCGTCGCTGTTGTTCCAGCGTTGTCTGATTCGGCAGCTCAATGCTGAAGTCGTCGTCTTCTTCGTGCAGCGAACCCATCTGCACGGTGGTATTCGGACTGAACATATGATGAATGCCGGATATTGAAGGTCGTGGACTGTTGGGCAAACTGCCGGCGCCGGAAACGGCCGAGTTGCGTCTGGAAGCGGAAAGCGTGGCCATGCGACCCAAGGCGCGTATAGCATTGCCGGTTTTCTTTCATTCAATAATAAAGCAAGCACACCATTTGAGCGTTTTGATGATAGCGATGTTAGCAAAAAGCAAGCAACAAAAACGGTTTGAAACAACAAAAGAGATAAAGCAAAAATAAAGGAAACCAAAAATATTATTAAAGCAAAGCTAACTCTTCATTAAAAAGTATAGCCATTCTTTTTAGTCTTAATCACGCGTACAGAATTAAATTAAAAGATAAAAAAATTTTGATAAAAAAAGTACGAAAACAATATTTTAGATAACCTTAAGCAAGTTCCTCTTTTTAAATAAACAAAAAAAAAATTAAAATGGAACATATTTTAATAAATGCTTACAGGTCAAGTATTAAGCCAACTATTAACCTTTTGCAATGTAAATTCACTTCTATATTACTTTTATGTCTATTTCATACTCATTCCTTACCTGCCACTTGCGTCGTATAATAAACTTCTTTAGTTTATCTGTGCAGATTTTGTTACTGAGGTTCTCGTCATGTTCCTGGGTCAACCACTTCGACTCTAAGCATTGTTTGGCTGTCAAGCGATTTTCTTTGCGATGCACCAATAAATTCGATATGAAGTCCTTTGCCTCCTGGGAAACGCAATCGAATGCTTCGTCATCGAAATCATAGTCGGCGCGTGTAATATTTGAAAAAGTATCGACATCAGTATCACCCATAAATGGCGATAAGCCAGATAAACTATTCAAGAATCAAAAAATATTCATAAGGACCAATTAGATTTCCAGTCAAGAGCCAATGACTCACAGCACATAACAAATGACGCCCACACTCCACATATCTGACTGAAAGCCGATTGGCTCGTAACTAATTATTTCAGGTGGTATGAATTCGGGTGTTCCGAAGAGCACGCGCACCGGTGTATTCTTATTTAAACGTTGCGCCAACCCAAAATCGATGATCTTGATTTGATGGCTGGTGCGTGTATGGCACATAATGTTCTCCGGCTTGAGGTCCAAGTGCACGATTGATTGCGTGTGCATGTAGGCGACACCTTCGCACACCTGTCGCAGAAAGAGTATGCAATCGCGTTCGGTCAGCGTAAAATCGTCCGCCACGACACGTTCGAACAGCTCACCGCCGGTAATGCTTCAAAGAGCGAAACAAGCGTTTGTTAAAAGAAATATACATATATGTATTTAGCAATGAATTCACTTACTACTCCATCACCATTACAATTTCGCGGGCACTCTCAAATGAAGCGGCGAGCTGCAGCAATTTCGGGTGTTGTAATGATTTCATAATAGAGATCTCTTCCATTACTTTTTGTCGATCTTGCGCTTTAATGCATTTAATCACCTTAGCAGCAAGAATTTGTTTTGAATTTTCACGTTCCTGCACCCGATAAACGATTCCGAAGCGACCCTTGCCCAATTCCTCGAGTATTTCGAAGCGACTTTTGAAATCGCCACCTGACTTAACAGAGATCGGTCGGTGAAAATCTAAAAATACCAAACAACGGAAATATAAGACACATTATATTATAGACCATGTATAAAAAATCCACAAGTTTAACAGTTGACATAGCGCAACATTTTTTTCGACTTTAAACTGACCAGATTCAACAATTTGTTGAATGTTTAAAGTGTAAAGTTCTCAAAGTTTTGCAGCAGTTGTTGAGCCAAATGTAAAGGTTTTTTTAGTTGTCCGATCGGCAATACTTCTTTCGAAATTGGTGTTTTTGATAACTGTTATTTGAATTATAGGCAGTTTGGTTGCTTCATAATAAAAAGAACTACTTCGAAACAAAGTTTGAAAGTTGGCAAATTTATTACCAACATAAAGCGCAGTACATTTCATTATACGGTCAACATTATCCCCAACAGAGTTGTTAATTCGAACAATCAATCGCTTTCATATCATATTTACTCTTGTAGATAATTCACACCCTTTGAGATGATATACAAACCACACCGAAGACGCTACTGCTGCTGTGGAGCGGAGTATCGAAGAAGACCCAACAATCCGCACTATTGGAACTGTGTCCAATCAATTTATGGAAGATTTTGCGGAAAGATTTTGGTTCGCGGACTTACAATATTGTGGCATTTGGCGTAATGACAATCCACAAATCATTGTTGAAACGCCGTTACATCCTCAAACAATCACTGGTCCATATTTTTTTAAAAACGAAGCCGGCCAGAATTTATGTTAAAAGGGAACGTTATACAGCCGTAATTAAAAACCTTTTCGTATTTGAATTGGAGGATATGGACGATATTTTGGTTCCAAAAAGATCGCGCAACATTCCATACAGCCAACCAAACTATCAATTTATTAAAGGAAATTTTTTGCGAGCGCATTATCTGGCGTCGTGTGCCATTGAGCTATTTTTTGTGGGTTATGTGAAGTCGCTTGTCTACGCAGATAAGCTCAAGACGATTGACGTATTCGAAGAGAATATTTGCCTTGCTGCAAAAAGTAGTCGCCCACCGCAGCACGAAAATTATTTTCAAAACATAATGGCAAACCCTTTCTTTATCATAAAGTTAAATTATTGGACATAACTTAAAATTAAATGCGTTTTATTCCCTCTTGTCTAAAAAAAAACAACCTTTGTTTTTAACCTAATTGAATAAAAAGCATGAAGCATTTTTCTGAATTGCTTATTTTTTAACATTGGTAAGAGTAAAGTGTTTTGTGCTACCGTGTAAATTCACGCACGCTTCACTCACCTTCTGTTGGGATTTCTTGGGCTTGTAACTCAACCGGATCGCTGGGCAAACTTGGTGTGCTGCAGCCATGTACATTTTTGGCGCGCACTCGAAATCGATATGTGGCGCTCGGTGTCAAATTCTTAACCGTGTATGCTAATGAGTCCACAACGGTAGCGATTTCGTGCCAACCGCTTTCGCCACCAGCCAAATCGTCGGTCTCATCATTCGGTTCGGCAGACACCTGCTGCATTTCAATGCTGAAATTTTAAAGAATGAAAACGATTAACAACGTTAGCAAATACAAGCATGTGCATATAGCAATCAGTGTTTTATTGTAGTTTGCGGTTTATACGCACATGAAGCCGGTAATCATGCAGCCGCCATCGTAGGGTGGGCCGCACCAAGCGACCGCAATGCGATCGGGACCTTGTGAGATGCTTGGCTTGCCGCTGGGCGCATCTGGCGGACCCTCCACCGCCACCGAAGCCGCCGCAGCATCGCTGCCCAACGTGTTCATGATCTCCACCGTGTACTTGCCACTATCATCTGCCGCAATCTCAGTTATGAGCAGCGTCGAACGCTTAGCGCTACTGCGTATGGAAATGTTGCGCTGCTCAACTATCGGACGGCACTACAAAGAAAACATTCCAGAGACAACAAAATATGTGCAATCATTAGTTAGCATTAGTATTCAGTGCTGAAGTGTAACAATAAATAAATAAGTATATCTACATGTGTAACTTCATATGATGCGGTGTAAGGTGTTAGACTGACAGGGCATATACATATGTACGTAGATAAATAGCAGCTGGGTACACATATCTTGGCGTTGGCATTTGACAACAGTGGAATGGAATCCAGGGGCACAGCTGAGCAGCGAGCGATCGATCAATCGATCAGTCGAACATCGGTACTCATGGGCTTAGTTAACAAGACAGCAACTCAGTCAAGCAATTAGCTCGTTAGTCAGTCAATCACTTATGCGCTGAGCTCCAGTTAGCCACCCACCCAGTTTGTTGTTCGACATGTTTCACTGAAATAAGCCCTTGGAAATGTGAGCAAGCCTTGGTTGCGCGCACTGCCACAAAAAAGCATTGTTCTTGCGGTTTTTGAGGTCATTACGTATGTTGGTATATTCAAAGTTGTGTGTGCGTGTAATGTGTAACATGTGTTGATATGACGATGTGAAGGCAAAGGCGACCGAGACGAAGCAGCAGGTGCATAGCCTCACCGCAAACCGATCGTGACAATTCTCTTCTTTTATACTTATAATTATTGATTTATTTACATTTGGCTTGGCATTTTTTTGCTTTTTTTTTAATATTGCATTATTTATTTCCACAATTTGCTTGCGTCAGTATTTAAAAAAGCTGGGACTGATGAACCCCACAAAACCTCAAGTCAATGGCGAATGCTTTGCTATAGAAGTGTCCGATCAAAACAAATGTAATACGTAGGTAGACAAGTAAATATGTGCATTTTTATCGCACTAATTTTGTCTATAAATGGCGGTGGAAGACAGCAAGCTTTGAGTAATGGCTTCACGAAAAGTCTTGGAAGCGTCTTTGGAGATAATCATTTAACCGAAATTTAAAGCAAGGAACTGACTGCCAATAATTGATATAACACAGACACGGTGAAAAATGTATATATTCTTAAAACGGAATCCATTATAATTAAAAAATTTATTCATTATAATTTTAAATTTAGAACTAACATTCGAAAGACACCTGTATAAATCTCGCAGAAATTGGTACGTGATGCTCGTATATAGGATTTTAAGTTAAAAAAAAAATTATAAGGAGAAATTTCATGAAATAATGGAAAAATACAGAAAGTATTTAGCTTCCGACTACTAGGATGCCATGAAACGTAGCGATGAGTCTTAGATCCATGCTTACGATGCAAAAACAGAGGATAAACCGTCCGAATATCGGGGCGATAGTGAGCCTAAGCCGAAAATGAAAGCAGGTCAAAAATCAAGTTTATGTTGACAGTTTTCCTCCGAATTCTTTTCCGACCGGCTAATCTATAAACAAGGAATACTATTTGTTATGAGTCGTTTACTCGAAGCTATTCATAAAAGGAGGCCGGAAATATGAGCCGACAACTCTTGGATCTTGCACTACGACAATACATACTGCATAAATTATTCGTGAGGAGGTCGTCAAATTTTCAGCGAATATCGTGCCGTCACCAACGCTTGTTTTAGCTCCATGTGACTTCTGGCTATTTAGTGTACTCAAATGACTACTGCAGGGAAACCGTTTTGAGTCAATTGCTGTCATTGAAAGTGAATCGCTCCGCACATTGAAAGCTATTAAAAACAGTTCCGCGGATTGAAAGAAGCGGTGGCACAAGTGTATTGGCTTTAAGGGGATAATAAGAATTTTAAAAATATGAACGAAGTCTTAATACTTTTTGCCCGAACTGTAAAACAAAATTGAAACATATGAAACACAAAAGTAGTCAGGTAAACTACTAATTCACATCTAAGAATTCCTTGTTGAAATCGAACTATTTACGACTGTTGCTTCGTCAGTGATAAACAAAAGCTCCGAAACAAGTTGCTAATGCATTTGCATGTAGCTTTTTTTCGATTCAGGTGGTATGGTCCATGTAATTCAACTAAATCTTTTTGTTTTGTTATGAAAGAGAATTAGGTTAAAATCCTTTAACCAAACCTGATTCCATAAGACAGTATTAGGAAAAACTTACCAGCCCCATGTCCGGAAAATGGATAACACGTAGACTAATTGAGATTGAGTTGGGTTTATGAGGTAGTTTGCAACCTCTTTAATTTACTGTTGGGTTCTTGCATATGCGATTATACTTAGCAGACGATACCCACTATCCCCCTAGATACTTATGTATATGCAAATATGGATATTGAATAATAACTTATGATGTTAAAATAGTGAACGTGTGGCGCCTGGGTATAAAGATATATTAATCTTTTAATCGAATAAATTGTCTCAAATGCATTTAAAGAGTGCAAATGTTAAATTAGATTTAATTGACTTCAGATGATTTAGGATTAATTTAATATACATTTTGATTGACTTCGATTAAATTTTTGCTCAAAAACACATCTTTCTGTTAAAAAGCAGCCGACCAGACTAACTTTTATTACACTTTTACTAAGCTAGCGAGCACCTTCCTCGCTACTCTGCTTCGAAAATTCAGAGAAAGTAATTACGTTCATAACTAAAATCATGTTTGGATATTTTCGACACATCCCTCATCATACACTCCACTCATACTCCCACACGAAATCGCTTTGGCAATAATACGACTCTGACGCCGCCTAGCTATCGTGCTCAAGAGGAATGATCAGTTTGCCACGAAGTTTGCAATACCCAGAAGACAGCGGTGGAGACCCTATTAATATATGTATATATGAATATGTGAAGCATGACGATTTCCTTCCTTTTTTCCCCAAGAAGCTGATAATTTAACGGACTTAGCATATAACTGCCATTCAAACTGATCGATCAATATCAAGTTCATGTATGCAATATTTTATATTTGTAAAGGGTATTATAGTTTCACTTGTGACCAAGAATAGCAGATGTGGCCAGCGCTATCTTACCAAAGACAAAATATTCTTCAGTCCATCACTATCATACACTTTCATTAGTAATTCCACGGAAATCTTATAAAAATCTGTTAATTTCAAGAATTATGCATTTTAATGTTGAAGTTATAAAATGATTTCCATTTATCAACTTCCATTTATATAACATGCTCTCAGTCTCAAATCTCAGCATATTAGAGATATTCCTCAAGAACTAAACCGCAATAAAATTAAACCTTCTCACAAAACCCTATGCGGTAATTTTCCCTGCAGACTAAGCGCTGCTGCTTTGTTTGCTTCATACCTACGGTGCAGTGTGATAGGAGAAAAAGCGTTAGTAATTAAAGTCGGCTTTAGTATTGTTGCCTACAATGACGCAATTTGCATTTACGTTCTGGTTTAAAGTCAAGTAACCTTTAAAGGTGCGCCAACCTCAATTGTCTGTCTAACCACCAACCGGGCACCGCCATATACTTTTATGGTATAACCAGCGCGGTTGGGTAATAAGAAAACGAAAAAATTAAGCGCCTACCGGCGTTTGTTAGAAGGAATGTTTTTATAATTAAATATAAACGGTTTAAAATGCTTATGACACTTACCCCTTTGTACCAGCAGACTTGTGCACGCGGTACAGCCTCGTAGCAGACGCTCAACTTAACGCTACCACCAACGTGAGCAGTGTAATCCTGTGGACCCTCTAAAATGCAAGCAGGTATTTCTGGCAGCTCTGAACCGTTCAGCGCTTCAATGGCCTTATCAGTGGCACTTGTGGTTTCTGTAGAATCGCCTTGAATGGACGTAGGTCCTGGCAGCACAACCAGACTGGTGTAAGCGCGCAGGGTCGAACTGGACTTACCGCAATGTGTGACACTCAATTGCACTTCGCCGCAGTGATGCGGCTGGACGTTCTGTATGCGTAGTATGCGGACACCGTCCGATTCATTGATGACACGCGAGGCGCCAAACTGCTGCACAGCAAACGGAAGAGCAGCACCGAAAAATAGAAAGCAGAGCGCGCAAAATGCAAAGAATAAGAAAACAATTCAAAATACTCTTAATGCTTGTTTCGCTATTTACGCGGAATAATGAACAATGGAGGAGTTATATTTGGAGTTATCTACAAAACGCGCGCCAAGCGAAGTTGAAGGTGAAATGAACAAATGCTTTGTTTGTCTTACCCGCACTTAGGCACTCGGTAGATAGTTATAATGCGACACTTGCGCAACCGCCTATTATAACAATGTATTATTTTATAAAATAAAAGAAATATAGTGGAAAGTAAATCGAAAGAACGAAATGGAAACGCGAATGTTTTGGAAAATTACGCGACACTCGTCACAACACGGCGACAACTAGTATCGAACTGACAATGCGAGGCGTCGCAGCTGTGCTAATTAATTGCGCCCGCTCAGCTTTTTTCCGTCAATAGTTGCGTTGTTGGCCCACTTGGCGCCGATCTCAGTTTGGCAATAATCCCAGCTGAGAGCGATGAAAAAATATTGCTACAACAACAAATTTCCAGAAGGCAAGTCAATTGGGACGCCAAGAGCCTAAGTGAACTGTTACAGTAATCAGAAAATGTCAGTTATGCTCAGAACGCCGCACGTCACTGAGTGCTACCCGGGTAAATTGAGTGCGATCATTGAATTACGCTCTAACGGCATGTTCTCACCTTCTTCGACAGCTCATTCAACAACGATAATGTAAATGGGCTCCTTATCAACATTTATCTAAACTCTTGCTTAGGTATAATGGATAACAGTTATCACAAACGAAGAAAGCAGGTCTCTCCGCGATTAAAAGGAATCCTACAATGCTAGAGATAACACACAATATCCATATTTTGTCAGTTTTTTAATCCCACTCTAATCCCTAATATCAGTGTCTGAGAAGAAATTTTAGATCTTTTTATAGTCAAAGTTTATATCGTCACCTGAAATGCAAAATAAAGTAACAACATTTTCGGAAATTTACAGTGGCATGAATGAAACACGAAATAAAATGGAACATGAGTGAAACAAAATTTTAATGTTGGTTAAAACTGGTTTATATCCGAGCGCAGAAATAGAAAATATGTAATATTATGTGTGTAATTTGAAGTACGATTCAATCAATAAGGCCCTCAATTTCGAATTTTTTGATGATACGTTATTTTGCATTTCAGGTGACGATATGAAATCGTAATTGAAAAACAAAATTGTTATCTTTAAACCTAATCGGGTCGTGTACCACGCCTACACCTCAGCACATATATAATATTTGAAGATGATACCCCCATTAATTTAAATAGCTACCATATTCGAAGCGTGAATGATTTAACAACAATTTTATTTTGTATAATATGCTTGTTGCCATAAGATCTATTGCAAGTTCAGGCCGATATAAAACAATAATATTAAAGGAATTTATTCGATTTGGTCACCTATGACACGACTAAGTACATGATATTTAAATTTTTCGTTGAAAACTATCACACAAATAAGCTTAACAACACCTGAAACACATATCTTCTTGAGTAATATCAAAGTTATACATTTACTCTATACTCGTGCGACCATTTTATATACCATATGTTGCTATTTTGTATTCAAATTCGCTGATTCACAAGTTTCACATAATTCAACGTTCAAATATTTGAATTCCCCAATATGAATAGTCCTCATAGCCGCACATTTCCCATAACTGGACTAATTTCATGAACACAACGTTTTCATTATTACTTTCGTACAAAAGCTATTACTATAAGCAGACATATAGTAAGTACGTTCCAATGAGCGAGTGCGGACATTATTTTGGAAAAATTTAGTTCAAATTATCTCTTACCATTTTGTCGAGAAAATTGTGCATAATTTATAGTTACCGCTCTTTTAAATTTTTATTAACTTTTGTGGATTTGAGACAGTTTTTTAGTTCGCGGTGGCTTAACGAAAACTAATGGTATAATTGCCATTCATTCACTCCTGGCTGACATTGGCTTGCATTTATTGGTTCAAGAAAAATATATTTCTGAGTTGCAGACTCTAATTTTGAACAATCGTTTTTGCCTCGCCACAGCCCATATGGACAGCTCCGGGCAGCGACGGTGAGTGTCCGGTGATGAGGAATTTCACTTCGGTTACACCCGAACCTTCTCCTTCCCTACTTATTGTGGATTCATTATGACCTTGTGACAAATTGTAATTGTTGTGATAAAGGTAGGGGCTCAGTTCCCTTGAACAATGGATTAACCGCATAAATATTAAGGAATAGATTGGACGTCACCGAACAAGCAAATACAATTTTAGCTATCAATATCTATTAAAAATATATTACACCTCTTCGGCAAAGAAGATAACATGACGAGACTTCGTAACGGCAGACCGCCGATTAAGGGTGCGCAAGATACTTCAGACAGTAGACATCGCAACAGACCGCGTGATACACCCCAAAGACCAAGGAAAAGTAGATTTCACCCTTCAGGCCCAAGTAACCCACCGGCTGAAAAAGTGATAACCTCCGTTATCTAGTATGGTATTTACAAAGTAGAATCTACATTGTTAACGGGAAAAGGGCAAAAACAGTAAAAGAGGTTTTATGTGTCAACTTCTTGAAGCGATTCGACGCCAGTTTGGAGAAAAAACAGTTCCATTGGCGAAGTGAAAAGCCCTCTCCGTCATGACCTGCAGAATTGAGGTAAAAGTATACTATTTTACTAGGCTAAGTATTTATCCGAATTCCCTTGTAGATTTAAAGCCAATTATTTATAATTTATTTCATAAATACGACAAAATCGATTACTGTAGCTAAACTAAATATGCTAATTCTAATGATTAGAAGTAAAAAAGTTTCTCACTTTCAGCCGGTAAGTGGAAACATCACAAAAATGCCGTTATTGGCTATTTTTGTATACTTTTAAATTTGAAGTTACTTATTTGTCACTTAGTCATTGAGTCACTGAGTCTACATACTTAAGCATATTTACATACATACATACATGTGTGCCATATATGTTTGTATTGAGAAATGAATTTATCTCGGCTGCTATTCATAAAGTTTATATTTAGAGATAAGCTCCCTAAACATATACTTATACTATTAGATAATTTCGATTTTTGTCAACAAGAAAGTGTAAATAAACACTGTAGCTATAAGTTAAAATCACTTCCGCGACCGAAGGAACAAAATTAGTGGCAAGCATTGTATCAACTGCACCCCGCCACCGTTAGAAAATTGTTATCATTTTTCATTGAAAATTATTCGACACAGTTAAATTTATGACACGTAAATATGTAAAGCCGCGGAACATTTTTTATAAATTTTTTTTTTCAGGAAAAATTTTTAAGCTCTGCGCATACCTTTTTGAGTAGCATGGCGCTTTTGTTATTGTTTTTCGATCACTTTTCAATTAGATATAAAACCATATTTTCGATAGTGCGTTGGAAGCGCACCGCCTCGAAGTTCTCCGACAACTGACTGATCGGCTGCTTAGTTTGTTGAGTCAACGCTTTGCTGCCGCGGAGTTCCCAAAGTCATGTACATACATACATTTACCAATATGAGGGCAGTATACTACGGATGGCAGTTATCGACAGCGTTGTGTGTTTAACGAAAACGCAGCGACGCAAGCTGCGAACTCGAAGCGCGCTCATCAAGTGTCGTTGCTCAGCCGCCGGCGTTAAGCATCTAGTGCCTGAGTGCATAAGTGGGCACATCGCGTATTTTTATACTCACTGGGCAATGGGTGTGCTACGGCACGGAGTCAACATTGCGATTCTGTGACGTTGTGAGGAGGAAAGTCAGAGGAATCAAAACAAAGCACGCATTTTAGATTTGAGCAATCCAAAAATGTTGCCTGGTGTAAGCTAAAGAAAAAATTAATGATTTCACATAGCATCACTGCTTCAAGTGCGGGCGTCTGTTTGATTTTCGAAACTGCTACTCCACTTTTACCGTCTTTAATGCGCTTTTTCTTTGCTTTGCTACTGTGTGCACGAGCACTCCACTGCCGACGCTTACACAATAGCTGTCCACTACTTTACTGCTTGAATTTCACAATATTTATTGTTATTTTATGTACCAATTAACATATTTACACTGCTAGAGAATTTCGAATTTTTATGTTATTTTCTTTGACTCATATGGGCAGCTTAAATTTGCCAGCGCGCTACTGATTTATATACTTAGCTCGATCATGCTCGACACCAATTGTACAATGTAATAAAATCTTTTAATAAGACGATATCATGCCGTCAACATATTTTTAAAATACCGAGCTGAATTAAATTTGAAACTCACGCTAGAAGAGTGTGGAACACGTAGCAGCATGCGACTTCTCAACGAAATTTACAACATCTACACAGATGGCTCAAAGATGTCTAATAAAGTGGGCCCCCAAATATATTGCTCGGAGTTGAATCTTGACCAAACCTTCAAGTTTCCGTAATACTGTAGCATCTTCTAGACAGATGCCTTTGCGGTCAGGAAAGCGGTTGAACATTAGTAACAAGATAAAGAGGATTAATACATATGTACATACATAAGTCAATAGATTGGAGACGATACATGCAGAAAACGCATAGAAGTAGACATGAACACCTAAACCAAACTCCAGATTAAGATGGAACCACAATCTTTGATTTGAAGAAGCTCAGCATGCCACTCAGTGAGACCACTGTTACGAATATGGATACAAGGCACAATTTTAATAACCAAAGCTATTGTCCAATTTGGTTGAATTTCCATCACCTATTTGTGTTTTTTGTTTTTCGAAAATATAAAATGTGCAATATTGTCCCACTGTACTACGTTGAATACAATAACAGCATAGCTGAGTGGGTCATCAACCAGACTTGCTATTATGACTGAAGAAATTTGTGCTGTCATTGAGTAATTGGCATTCATGAATACCGCAGACTTTGGATCGTTTTACTTATGTCACGAAATGCTCCATTTGTCTGACACAATAAACATTTAAGAGCGCCAAAGTCAAATCGCAGACAGAGCGGCAAACCGAGGAAGCAATATAAGGTGCGCAGATGTATTGTGACCTTGAGCTATATATACATGTACATATGGATATGCGTCAAGAATGAAAGTTTCAGAAATATATGGGATATGCTTCATTCATTTATATATTCTGGCAACATGTTGCTACAGTGAAACCAATAGAGAGAAATGTAGAGTTCTACATATATACATATATCTGTCCACGCCCACAAAACGTCTTTAAGCGGATACTTATAAAGTATCATAACTATGGTGAGCTCTGGATAATATATATATTATATTAAGATACTAAACTGTAATTTGCCACAGAACCTCGCAGTAGCAAAGGGCAGCCGTGGAGTTGAAAATTTTGGAAAAATGAGCGTGGCCCGCTCATTAACGTTTCTATTAGAAATTACTAAAAACGCGATAAATCAATAAATTAATAAGGTAGAGGCAAACTTGCCCTATGCTCCATATTACTGATATCACTAGTTTCTAACACTGTATTGGTGGTGATAACTGGACCTCAATGAAACTCAGGGAGCATATAATTAATATGTGGCACATTTATAGTATATCCGTATACCTATCACTATTTCTCCGGCTTTCTTCTTTGCAAATTGCTAAAGTTCGGTTACAACCGCGCTTAGTCCTTCCTTATTTGCTTTATTTTTATTTTAAGTAAGATTAGTAAAATAGTAAAAAAAAAAAGTTTCCAGGTCTATAAAGTCTTTTGGATCATAGATACTAGTACTGATTTTATTTACTTACAAGAAATATGCGATTGTTGTCGATAGTGTAGTGAAGATACGCGTTAGTCATTGTCGAATGTTAAACTTTAACGAAATGTAGTTGCTAAAAATAACTGCTGCTTTTTCATAACTCACCTTTGTTATTTCCCCAACGAGTGAGTCATTGGCGTTTTCTTCATCTACATAGTCGGAAACGATTTCACGACCGGCAACAAACCATTGTACGCTGGCTTCAGGTGGATGAACATGCGCACAAAACACCACTTCGTCTGCGCCGGCATTCGTTAGCACTGCCAGCGGCGATTTCAACAGTATTGGCGCAGACTCGACAACATCGGCGATTTCGTCGACGCTCAGCTGACAAGTAGTGCTGCATGTCAAGCCGCTGGCTGTACGTACCTCACACGTGTATTTCCCGGAGTCTAAATCGAAAACATCGTTTATGCGCAGACAGAGAACACCGTTGCCATGGTCGATTTGGCTAAGAAAATGACGAAAATTAAAAATATGCATGTATTTGTATATCACAGTATGCACTATGAGTCTGTGTCTTTATGGACTTACTTAAAATCGTCATCATCGACCAACACTTCACCATTACGCGTCCACGTATAAGTGTATGGTTCATGGCAATCCAACTCAAAGCGCAAGTCAACAGTCTCACGTTCGTGAGCTTCTACTTTGGCGGGGAGGGCTCGAGAAATACTCGGTTCTCTAAGACGTGCTGTCAATGCATCACTTTCCGTTGCTTCGAATTTCACCCAAGTGCTTGTGATCAACGGTTCATTATCACACTGAATGATGCAAGTATACAGACCCTCGTCATCCTCCGTCACATTGTCAATACAAAGCAGTGCTTCGTGTTCGTTCACCACAATCTGCACACGTTCATCATCTTCACCCAGCTCAGTGCCGTTATGGTAGAACTTGCAGGATGGCACCGAAGAGCCTCGATAGCCAGTAGCCAACGCCATGCGGCCACCTATAGCCGTCGATGGTCCCATAATACGTCTACGTAGGTGTGCATTGCGTTTCGAAGAACTTGCACGAACACTACGCACGGAAGGAGAGCGTGAGTAGCGCGAACGGCTAATTACATCTAAACGCGCCGTAGCTTCAATGCGTCCATAGTCATTCTCCAAGGTGATGCGATACAGACCAGCGTCATCGAAAGTGACTTCGTCAATCTCCAGGAAACGCAAATCATCCACCTCCTTCACAGCGATCCGGGCAGTAGGCGTAACAATCATACCCTCTTTGTCCCATGTCGACCAAGGTGCTGGGTGACCGGTAATCGCGCATTGGAAACGCACATTGTCACCCTCCTCGACGACACGACTGTGGGGAATGGCTAGGAATTTCGGCGCAGCCAAAGTACGAGTGTCCAACATTGCGCGTCGATAGCTGCCTATGCGACCATCACTCAGATCGATTTGTGACGAACGGTAAGAGAGACGACGTGGAGAAAGGCAACGGTTGGGCGTGGAACGCGGTGTTGAACGTGGTGTTGAGCTTGCCGAGAGTAAACCGCTGGGACGGGACAGCTGACGATTTAACATATTCTCCTTCTCCTCAGGCACATCGACAATAATACAAGCCGAGGATAGTGTCCGGCCAAGATTATTCTTTGCGACGCATGTGTATTCGCCTTCATCCTCTGGATAAATGCGTGGTATACTCAGTGTGGCCTTGATGCCGTCGTAAGACATTATGGAATCTTTGCCACTCGGTAGCACACGTCCATCCTTCTCCCATATGATTACCGGTTCCGGGAGTGCCTCAACATGGCATTCCAAAGTGATGGCATCACCGTCACAACAACGTAAATCACGCAGATGACGGATGAAGCGCGGGAAGGTTTCCACGTTGCTGTGAATTATACACAATAACATTTGAACACCTTTCAGTTAATGCGGCATACTCACCCGTGTCGAATGGACCCTTTCTCCATTTGCGAATTGTTGAGGATATCTATAAGGGAATGTGTTAAAAAATTATAAAATACTCAAAACACTATTTTTTGGTTATAAACAATTCTAACTGAATTGTATTTTGCATATCTTAGCCCTAACGTGAATACATACATATGTGAAGAAGGAACATATTTGAAAGTAGGTAACGTTTTCACGTGTTCGAAAATTAGATTAAAAGCAAATTAGATTTTTCGCTATTACAGAAATAGAAAACTAAATTTCAAAACTCTTCCGGATATTACAAAATAAATTGCATACATGTAGGCGAAGACATTCCGTTACTGCTTTAAGCGACACCTATCGGTGAATTGTATAGCATACCACGTATTTCACTTTTGATTTCATTTAACCAAAATAAATATATTTCATTGTAAAACTAAACATGTTTAGCTAATTACACACGTGCCTACCCATTACTATATCTGCGGATGCAGAGATGACAGAAATTAGTACGCAATTTAGCTGAATCTTGGCAATTGAAGTGCTACAGACAGATTACACTAAAAATTAATACGGTAGGGTGGCAACATCAATTCTGTAAAAGTGTTTTGTAGTGTTTGATTTTCCGCAACATCTGGTACTTTTTATAAGCAGTTGTCTAAATATAGTTGCATTTCGTTTACAATTTCTATAGCAAAATCTTCATAACATTTATAGTAGCGTCGCTATCAATTATAATTTAACAAAAAATGATTATGATTCAAATGGAATTGGAACCAGGATTTCGCAAAGCAGACCTTAACAATATACCAACGGTGCGCAGCGAAACAATATTCGGCTTCGTCACAAGAATTGCCACCAGCGGTGGTAGTGTGAAGAACCAATCAACCGGCAGCAGGTATGTTTATTAACAAATTAAAATAATATGTAATAATCATTTATATATTGTATTTAGTAATAGCACAGATGTAGATTTACTCATAGACTATGTACAAGTGAGAAAAGCCGGAGATATTTTTGATGTGCGTGCCGTTGTCTTTCCGGCAGCAAATGGTGGAAGCCATGAGTCGCATGTACGTGTTTCATTGAAAGTAGATGAGAAAAAGGATGAAATTTCAGAGACAAAATGCGGTCTCTGCACAAAGAAAGGTATGTTTTTCTCGTACTATATCAAACACCAGCATATAATGAGAAATTATATTGCATTTTGCAGAATCCTGTCCACATATACTAGCTTTTATTTTCTGGCTGCATCGCAAGAGTACAGATACCGAATCTACGGCAATACTGGATTTTTGGGGTAAAGAAACGGAAGCATTAATCGAGGAGGAACGTGGGGAGACGTTGCGCATTCGTGACATATTCGCCTGTGACGAATTACGTCTTGAAACTGATTTGGAAGCAGCTGCAGTAAGTGAAAGCGAAGGGCGAGCTTTCTTCGAGGCTGTGCTTGATGAGATGGACAATTTAGGCTTAAAAGACTCGGCTCTGTACCGTCATTGTAGATCGGTATTGGAAGAGTTCGAACCGGTATTCATACATCATACAATGTTGGATGCATCAAACAATGGTGTAAAGAGTTGCCGCACCTTCGGCCTGCACATGGAGGAACAAGCCAAACATGGGCTCTTCGAACGTCTTTCAGAGGTCTCAAAAAGTAGTTATAAGACACGGCTTTGGTTAGAGGCGCAGTATATGCGATTACGTTGTTCTCTCATACATCGCATCGCATCGAGAAAAGATTCCTTAGAAGATGAAAATATTTTGGAACTGCTTTTCTGTAAAGAACGCGAATTCAATGCCGAGGAACGACAACAACTGAAGCAACACAAGCGTTTTATATTAAAACAAACAGAAAAACTAGAAAACAAGACATACACTGAATGTGGTTTATTGCTTAATGAAAGCTATCCATATATCTGCGCATCGCCTGATGGAATTACCGACGACCACATTGTGGAAATAAAAGCACCAAAAACAGACGATGAATTTGAAAAGTACTTAGAGGGACGTGAAACAATTGCGCCCAAATACATGGCTCAGATTCAGATTCAAATGTATATGGCAAATGTGACTAAAGCTTTGTATTGTGTACTAAGTCCCACCTTTGACACTAACGGGGCCTTGCATTATGTCTGGGTGCAAGCCGATATGGAATTTGTTGCGAGCTTACTCGGAGCTGCTGAGGATTTCTGGAAAGATGTGGTATTTCCTCGACTCAACAAAATCTATCTTGGTGGCCCATAAAGTAGTGTTTAAATGTTTAGTTTATATTAAATGCAATGGAGCGCAATCGTTTCTAATTTTGAAATGTAATAAAACAACTATTTAAGTGCCGAACAAATGGAATTTTACTCTTCGATTGAAAATGATTATGACTTATAATGCTCTAGTGCCATGTGAATTGCTTGAAATCTCACTTCATATTTGCGTTTCACCTCAAAATTATTGCACAACAAAGTTTATGTTTAAAAAAAAAAAAGTTAGATAGTTAATTACAATGTCTGTTATAAATCAAAGGCATTTGTGTTATGAACATTTTTTGAATTAACGCTAAGTAAAACTTTGCTCCACTACTTACCTTTAGCGAAAATTTGCAATGAGATGACAGCCTTTGCTTCACCATTACAATTGCTCGCTATAACAGAGTAAGTGCCGGTGAAGTCCAGCTTGGCGCTAGGTATTTCCAGGCGGTATTCCGGACCGTCACCTATAGGTCGGAAGTGTGGTGCGTCCTTGTAGTATTCCGGCTGTAAAGAAAAATACATGCATAAATACCAACAAGAAGAGTGTAAACGAACTTCTTTGGAGAACACACATTTTATCAACTAGAACTAAAATAAAATAATTTACTTATTTAATTACAAATATACTAAAATGAAATGAAAATCGCTAGTAATATGTGCTCCGTATATACATATGTAAACGGCACAAAGCACAGACTGACTACTATGAAGAGTATAAAATGTACATATCTGTGTTTAAAAAAATTTTGTTAATAGCATGTATTACAACTAATTTCATACCAATAATACATATTACAACTATAGAATCTAAAAGCATGAAACTTCCATTGGAGGGAAACATCCTTGCACTAATTTCGAGGCATGGTGCCGAGTTTACAGTCCTTGGTCGGATACGTTCCGGTTACCCGACTGTCGTGTGAACCCATTTACTCTTAACTGACAATTAATACGCTGTATAATCGTTTATTAGAAAAGGTTAACTCGGAATGACAGCCTTATCATTTCTCTCAACGGTAGATTTCTTTTGGACAGACGAAATATTATAAGGTTGGTCTAAATACTTAACCGTAATCGAAATGAACTTCCTAGTAAACAAATAAAACCAAAACTGAAAATTTTTGACATAATAACATGAAGCTTTGCATGTTTTGATTTCTGTAAGGACTATATTTAGTTTTTATCTCAATTTACAATTATAACCGCAATATTTTTATGCATTAGTAATATGTTGCGCAGAGTATACACTTGTTTTCCTTTTTGAACAGATTATTTTATACGGTTTATTTGTACACTTCTCAATTCTCTTTTTAAACGGTTTTACAATTTTTGCACGTGTTTTTTATTTTAATTATATATATATTTTTTTTTGCAATAAAAAGAAAGTTCTGCTACCGAGAACTACATATGTATGTATATGTAGAAGTAAATGTTAAAAATACACAGCAATTAAGGACGGATTTTTTAAAATTATAAGCATGAACTTTGAAATTTATTAGTATATTTTTTCATTCCCAGAATATTTTTTTGTTTGTCCATTAAAAATTAATACATATACAATACCATGGAAATCTACATTGTTTTAATGGTGTAAATTTTCAGTGTACGAAAAGAGAGATTTACATGTAAAATGTGATATTTACACGTTTTCCCTTTTTACACTGTTTTTTTTTTTCACAGGTAATTTACTGTTCCAGTTAACTGTATAAAAAGGAGATCAAGTTTAGTAGTTGTGTTCCCCTAACGGATACCTTAAACTAATCGAGATCTAATCGAGATATAGATGTCGATTAGTTATGTGAAAAATAATAAGGACAGGGATGCATAAAACCAAAACAAGAATAAAATTATAGTAAGTCATGAAAATTTTCCGCCAATTAACGGCATTTTTTTCACTCCTAAATTATAAAAACAGATTCCATCAGACAAATACAAAATATTTGCACACATTTCGTAAAAAGTAAGCAGTTGTGCGATTTAATGAATACCGCGTGCTATTTAAAATCAGTAACAAAAATAGTCTTACTGAAACGTGTTTTTTTTTTTTGCAGAGATAAGGCAAGAATAATTCTTTTGGTTTTAATATAAATCAATTGAACCCTGGGTTTTCTTTTTATTGTATCGATATTGGAAAGGATAACCACTGCGATCCGAAAACTCGAGAACATATTAAATATTTAGTTAAACAAGGAAATTCGTACAGAAAAGTAGTGAATTTACTGAATGTTTAGTGTGCTATGTTAAGAAAAGTCCGTTTATTTCGTCAAAACTTATAAAATGTGATTTGAATATTGGTGTTGTCCCCTTAACTATCCGCAGAGTACTTGAAAAGGAAAATGACAAGTGACAATACTATAAGAATTCATACTACACAGTACGCTACTGCAGAATATGCCACTTAAGTGGATATTTATTCAGGACACCGACCCTAAAAACACGGCTAAGAGTACAAAAGAGTGGTTTAGGGTCAATAATGAAGTGGTCGCCGCAGTCCCCGTTTTTAAACTCCATTAAAAATTTGTGGAATAAAGTCAATGTGCAGAGAAAAATACCCCAATTAATAATGAAGAACTTTTTCAACTTATTCAAAATTCCTGGAATGCCATTCCAGTTTCCCTCTGCCAAAGTCTAATTGATTATATTCCAAAGCGGTGTTGATCAATTTTAAATAAAGAGTGATTTCCAAAAAGATATTAAACTAGTGTGTAATTAATATCATCACTTCTGAATGAAAACTAGTTACCTTTTTATATATATTATTGTATTTTTTTATATAAAACAAATGTAAATAAAATACAAAACATAGCAAAATATGGGTTAAACTGTAAAGAAACTTTAATTTGTTCTCAATAAATTTGATTAGTTAATTACCGTTGATTTCGCCACATTTCTGAATGTCCATTAACTTCATTACCTGCAGGCCACTGTCCTTATTATTTTTCACATAACTGTATATATATATATTAGGGTGATTCCAATTTTTTATTTTTTTTTCATTTGGTACTCTGAAAAATAGGTTCCTAGACACCTCTAAGAAAGCCTCTCCACGAATGAGTTCTTAGTTGTAACAGGAAGGTCCTCCTACTTACAGTTTTCTATTGCTTTCTTATTTTCAGATAGAAAAATGTATATCTCGCTTCCAACCACATAAAAAAAATATTTTGTTCCTTAGGTTTTGTAGGAAATTGAATGCTCTACAAAAAAGGTCTCATACGATTTTTTCGTAAACCCAACCGTTTAAAAGATATCAACGGTTGAAATTTGATTATTTTTGGAAAAGTTTTTTATTTCTTATGTATTTTATAACTCAATGAAAAAAAAAATCATTATGAATGAAACTCATAGGTTTTTGAAGAGGTGTCTAGGAACCTATTTTTCAGAGTACCAAACGAAAAAAAACATGCACAACTATATATTAAATTAATTATCAAGCCTATCGGGGTTCGGCCTGACGTAATAATCTTCTTTAGGTGCATTTGATAAGGTTGCGCTTTCTAAACCAAGTTTCGACACTGCTTCTTCTATTTTGTTAGTTAAGTATTATATATCAATGTCGTGAAACAGCACGTCGCTTGTCCCGATACTACTACCGTCATCAACATACAAAGGGCCAAACATTTGCGAAGGACCTCAAACACTCAGCTCATTACTCTTTGACTTCGTCCATGAGTTGCTGAATGTCCTAACCATCTACCGAGCCCGTAATCATACGCATTTGTTATTCATAATTGGGCCCTCAGGCAGGCATTATTATTACAGATGCTTTCGGTGCCTAGATATATGAAGTCCTTTACCGCTTCGAAAATATATTTCTCCGCTACTAGCTCGATCTCGGTCACATTTCTCTGCCAGCTGGCATATATGTCGTCTTGTCGTCTCTAACCGTAAAACCCGTTTAGCAGATTACATCTCGATAACTACAAAAGTTTCGAAGGCATTCTGCTTGATACACCCAATTATGTGTACGTCGTCAGCATTGGATAATAACTGGACATAATGGTGAAACATCGTGGCCGCCCGATGAACACTTGATCTGCGTAAAATACGCCATGACAAGGTTAAAGAAGTTCCAAGATAGATCGTTGCCTTCTCTAAACTCTCGCGTGATATCAACATGTTCTTGTGGGTCTGTTTCTCCTTTTATGAGGCAAAGAATATTGCTCAACGTCATTCTACAAAGTATACACATAATCCCTATTTGGACTATCGAAAGCTGCCTTGTAATCGGACAGGAAATTGACTTGTATGAAAAGGACACCAGACTGATCTCTTGATAGTTTGCGTTGGTGATTATTTTGTCTAGCCATATTTTGCAGATGGACTAATGCATGCTTACTATCAACACATTTTCGCCAACTTTGAACAGTTCTACAGAGACCGTCTACCCTGTTTGCTTAATATTCTTCAGACGCTGACTAGATACATGAATATCATCGTTCTAGATTCAGAACTCTGAATTCATTTCTCCACAGGCGCAACTTTTGTTGTCATCGCAAGAAAGCATTAGAAAAGGATTGCTTCAGGCTTAAATCATTGAGTCAAACGGGTGACCTTCTGCATCATTCCTGCCTTTACAAGCCTCGATTTTCTATCGCTCACGCTTTTCTTTCACCCATTATCGCGTCTACATATTTTATGTAAGTATATTTGCTCTGTACATTTACTCTGTTTATTCGACCATATCTGTACAAGCTCGTTTTGAATCTTATAAACTTCATAAAATTAAACTTTACAACACCAAGTGGCGGACATACATATCACCGGTGTGCATCCAACGCAAAAACCACGTAAAATATGTAAATACGTAACGACTTACATACAGGCAACGAAGGCGGTGACAATAGTGACGAGTGTAGTGCGGAACTGAGTAGCACAACAATTGCGGTAATTTGATCGCCGAGGAGATTTTAAGGTTTAAACAAAAACAAAACAAATGAAATGTCATAAATAAGTACAGTGGCGCATGCGCACTCCGAATAACAGCAATAATTAGTTGACAAATATATATGTACATACATTCATAGATGTATGTACATATGACCGTTTCTGTGTAGGTATGTACGTGATTAAAGCATGCGCAGGGGGCATGCGCGCCTCGCCAAATCGGTAAAAATTACGGCTGGACTGGCACTGAGGCCAGCTCGGTACATATAATATTATATTTATTTCAGTTCGCGATGTTTTTTATTTTTTTAAATATAAATATGTATGCATGATATATTACATACACATGAATAGTAACTATAGCTTTTAGTAATTTGTATACATATGTATGTATGTAAGTATGTATGATGCAGTTTTTCATGTGGCTTCAAGATTGCTGTGAGGCAGAGTTGCAAGCGATTAATAAAAACTTTGCCACAGGAACAAAATGTTTTTGAGTTTTTGTAGACAGACAACAATACTCGTTTTTATTGAACTTCACTTATATGGCGAATAGTTTATGTATTGTTAATTTTAGAAGTATGTGCATAAAATGAACATGTTCATACATACCTTTGTGTATG